TCCATTTTCACATGACTATCTTAGGCTAAGATATCAAAAGGCATTGCTCTTCCTGTAATACAGATAGGCTTGTTTTTGCCAAATGACTTTCATTTTGTGAACTGTATTTGTCAGGATGGGAACAACATCATATTTTCATATTACTTGGACTAATGCTGGATAAACAAAACTTGTTAGTCCATGGCAAAGACTAAATTTTTTCACCAAAATCCCAGGGTCTCAGGAATTGCTGTAATTTACTCCTGCCATTTATGCCTTAAAGCGGTGGGATATTTAGGTAGGTTTGCCAAAACTAATAATGAATTCCTTTTGTGTGTTTTTGTGTATGATAGATCTGGCATTTCCACAACCTGACTGGTGCTTCTACACTGATACAATGAAGTGTCAGTGAAGCTTTTTTTCTTGTATAGTTTCCAAGCCAATATCATTAGCCAGCTAAACCTCTCCTCTTACATAGGAGACTTTTCTATTACGTTTAGAGTGATTCACAGTGGTCATTATTTCAATGTTCAGAATACTATGTTTATAATGGCCTATAAAGATGATGCAAACCTTGAGAAAAAGGTTAAAATGCCTTCTGATGTTTTAGTCAGCTGTTGTTCTCCCAACTCCCCCTGAACTACACATACTCTTTTAGGCATGGGCTTACCAAAGCCTCGATGGTAAGAATTAAAACCTGTCAGTTCTCTGGCAAATTTTGTTATAGATTAAAAACATTTTAAGGGTTTCTGAGAAAAACTCAGAAAATCTTGATTGGCTAAATCAATGGTATTCTGATGGTTTTCAAAAAAAAAAAAAAAAGGCAATCCTAAGCTAGTACAATCTTTGCTAAACAAAGATGTAGAAAACAGCCCTAATGCTTACAGTACAGCACCAAATGACCAGAGATAGAAATGGTAGCTTGGTACAGTTGTGGACGGCCATAGACAGTCACAGAACACTCAGTGATGGGATGTCACTCTCTGAAGCCTATTCCTGTTCTACATGGCAATAAATGGATAGATCCATAACAGAGATGACATTCACAGCAACAGAGGGTAAAATATTGAAAGCATCTTGTTAAATTGCAATGTGACTATCTGTTAGTTCCCAAGCCTAACTGGGAAGGCTACAGTTMTGCTCAGCTTGCAGAACTGAGTACATGAACAGTCCTCATGCCACTGCAGAGCAAATGCTCTCTTAAATTTCACAAAGACTTATGCTCCCACATGTTGCTCAAGAACAAGCATTAGATGTTTCAGGAAGTTCAAGAAATCCAGCTCCATGCTATACATGAAGTACATGCTGAAGAGGTGGATAAACACAAGGAACATTATAGAATAGATCTTACATTATTTCTCTACAGAACAAAAACATCTCCCCATAGCTGTTAAGCTTTAAAACTCAGAGTGTAATGGAAGACATGAGTTATCTGGAACTACTGTAGCCAGAATAATGTAAACTGCATTTACAATGACGCAGCAATGAAAAGACTCACAACCATAAATGTTTTTGTCACAACAGTGTCTTTTGTGAACGGTGAGCAACGTAATTCTGGTCTTGACATCATGACTGCTCTCAGTCTGCCTTGTGACTCAGTTCAAGAGATGCTGTCAGCCAGCAATTATTCTTAACAGCAAATTTAATCAAAAGCTTTGGTATTCAGTCCTGAAAGCCTGGAACTTGCGCAGCTTCTGCTCATCTATTCCATGTCCACTTTGGAGGGTAGTATCACATGTTTGCTCACAACTTGAATACTACAATTTTGTAAAATCAACAAAAAGTAGAAGTAGAAACGCTTTTTGCAAGAGAAAAAWAGTCAATAGAGAAAGCTTTGTTAAGACAGAATAAACCTTACCTAAAGACCATTAGCTTTCCGTACTATTGCTTCACAGCAGTTTAGGTTGAAGTTTAGTTAGTTAAGATAATCATAACTTAGTTAAGATAATCATAAATCTTAGTTAAGATAATCATAACTTAAAAAGCAGATGAGACACTAAATATCTATTGCTTCTGAATTAAAGCTACATAGTCATACAAATCCAAGGCATTTTTCATCAAACAAAAATATACTGAGCAATAGCTATAGGATAGAAAGAAAGAAAACAAACCAAAACAACTCTCCCCCACATAAAAACCTCAAGAATTTGGAATTGTTAAAACAGTTTCTGGTAACTATCAGAATACACTCCATTAATTGATAGACAAATAAAGGCCCCAAGGTTTAAGCTTCTTTTATATACTCTCTGCTTTCCTCTATTTGTTAGGAAACAAACCACACACACTAGCAAACTTTGGGCATCTTGATATTGCTTTATAAAAGCATTTTTAGCTTTTCCTTGTAATAAAGCAACAATTAACTTGATATTTAAGTAGTTAATTGGAAAACCACCAAATTTATTACTTCTAAAAATCCCTCGGCCTATAAATACAATATAATCCATGGTGAGCCTATAAATACAACACCTACTATCTACATTACATCTTGATGTAATTATTATTATCTTGCCAAAATAATTTCACAGAAACTGGTGATTAATCATTATAATGAAGGCTTTAAGTGGTATCTATAGGGACTACTTACACTATGCAGTTTCCTTTTCCTTATCCAAAGTCTTCTGTAGGGATGGAGAGCTTATGCAGCAGCTGATGGTCAGAAACAAACAATCATTTTCTTGGTTGGYTTCTAAAGGGAATTTACACTGTTTTTGAAAAAACGCGTCAAAGCCTATCTGGCTCAACCACATGTTTTAAATCATAGCGATTTTCCACTTGTTAGACGGAATGTTTTTTTTACCTTATACAGGATGGGGTTCATTTAGCAGAGCCAGAAATGTTAGCAAATACAAGATTTGAGGCCATCTACTGAACAGACACAGATGAGCTCACCTGTCTGCTCAAATTGCCTCGCTRATGATCATTATGGACATGTTTCAAGCATAAGTTACAGGAACTTAAACAAGGTTTGTTTGCACTAATTGGAGTTGCATAACTATATACTTCTGCACATAGGTGCTGGGGAAAGCTCTCTGAACACAAGTTCCCAGAGCTCCAAATAAACCTCTTCCAAACAAAATAACCCTTCCCCTCCTCAAAATAATCCTCAACAACCTTGTCTTTTTCTTGATACAACATCTCCAACCAAGGTCATTTTCAGGACTTATGCAAAATCTTAAAGTTCAGCCTCGCTGTTTTCTTAATGAGAGGCTCACAACACCAAGTTCCTCTTTTTCTCAAGAGCCAGTTTCTGGAGTTCTATGATTATCCTCCTACATTTCTCTTACAAAGTTGAAGCACAGGATACATCGGCGCTTGACAATCCTCTAAAGCAACAACACATGTGCCAAAAGCAGCTGAGCAGAGGCAGCAAGCACTTGCACATGGGTTCCTTCGCTGYGCTGCGCAGCTGAGGCACGCTGATGTAGTGTGCACAGACATGTATGTCTGCTCCCAGCCTTTGTGCCTCCAGAGGAAAGACTGAACACATGAAAAATTCAGAATCCAAGCAGAGAGTACATTCAACAAACCTCTTCCTATTCTTAATTTCATGATTCAAGGACTACACTTCAGAGGAGGAGAACACCAGACACGGTACAACAGACATTCCCCTCCTCTGCCATTCAAATGCGAGAGCATTCTGATAGCCTGTCGAGCTTACAATACTGCCAGCACTATATTCTCTGGTATCACATTCCTAGCCTCGAACAGCCATGCTGTTAGTTTCTCTTCAATTAACCTGAAAAGTCACTGCAAAGCACTCGCTACTATGTACAGGAGGAGTACATAGAGTCTCCGAAGTCCTCCAGACTCCTGACCCCAACAAACAAACACTCAGCAGTGAAAACTATGTCCAAAACATCAAATAGGTAGACAGGATTATTTCAGCATCAGGCTATGGAGTCTTTTCTTGACCTTTACCTCAGCATTTAACAACCCAATGCTCTACAACCCACTTAAATGCTGCACAGAGCTGGATTGCTTACAACTTCCCACCATTGTTCCCTTCAAAGAGCTGTGTTAGTGCAGATGGGACTGTAGACTCCTTCACAAAGCAAACAGACTCAGCTTTGTTTTTAAGCTACAACACAGCAGCAAAATTCTGTGGGGAAAAACTGAGGTAAATACCAACATTCATCCAGCAGACAAAAAAAAAATAAAAAGAAAATACTAGTCTAAACCTGTAGTTAGATTCAGTATTACCTCTTTTCTTTGCTATATTAAGTACAGCTTACCTTACAAACCACAGGTAAAAAGGGGAAAAGAAATTTCACTTCTGGAGAGTATCTAGAGGCTTCAGCTGCTTTATAGCAAGCCAATTTTGAAAATACATGCAACTTAACCTTGAATAACAGGAGCTCAGGCCTGCTACACGGCCTGCTGGACATCACAGCACATACCCAGGTCAACCAGAGGCCCGCATGGCAGCTRCTCTCCACAGAGCACCGGTCACCCCTCAGCACTAGCCAGGCCTGCCCCGCAACCACCTTGAAGCCCTTCTTCAGGAGTTAATTCTGCAGCCACCCACACAAGCCCTCCACTCTCAACAAAACTAAAAGAAATAAAGACCAAAACAGAGGTGGCGTTAGGCAAACGCTGGGTAGAAACATCACCAGCGGTGAGGCTGCATTTTCGGCCACAGCCCACCCTGACCCACCGGGACCCAGAGCTCCTGCCGCCACCACCTACGGGTCCCGCGGGACCCCCGAGCCAAACGTGGCCGACCAGGCGCGCCGCTCCTCGCACGTAGCCGCCTCAGGGCGGGGCGGGGCGGGGCCAACGCGCCTCACCTGCGCCCGGCGCGGCGGGAGGAGCCACGGCTCGCCCCGCCCCTCGCGCCTGCCGCCAACGGCCGTAACGGCCGCAACGGCTCCGCGTGCCCTGGCGCGCTCACGTGACCCCCGCCGCAGTGCCCCCCCCCCCCGCCTCCCCCGCAGGGGTCGGCCCGGGCGGCCGCACCGCAGCGCGCAGAGCCGCGCAGAGCCGGAGGCGGCACCAGCACCAGCACCAGCAGCGCCTGCCGCGGTCCCGCTCCGCGCCCAGGTGAGTTGTGGGCAGCGCGGCGGCGGCGGCGGCAGCCGCAGCGCGGGGAGCCCCGGGGCGGCGGCGCCTCAGCCCGGCGGGACGCGGCGCGCCGTGAGGCGGCGAGTGCCCCTGAGCGCGCGGCGTGGCGCGGGAAGCGCGGCCGCCCAGGCGAGCTGGCTGCTTCGTTTACTGCTCCGTGAGGAGGCTCTTCGGAGGCGACTCTCCCGCGGCCCCCGTCCTCCCCCAGACTTGGTGAGCAAAGCAGAAACGCGCTCCCCTCTTGCTTCTCGGGTATCCGAGTGCTCCGTTCGTCRTAAAATTAAAGTTTTCTGCCGTGTGCGTTGTCCGGGCGCTCTCTGAATTTGCCTGGCTTGAAAAGCAATTTACTGAATTAACGTAGCATGCACGGAGATAACTCGGACTGACGCACTAGCCAAGTAGCATCCGTCGCGTGGGCAAATATGGAATTTTCCTGCCCTTGGCTTTCTTTTTATCTTAAATCATTAATGGGTCCCTGTATTACATGAAGGAATTTTGCAGTTAGTGCCTAACACGAATGCATGTGGTGGGCTGGATGGGGGAGGATGTATCTCCAAAACCCTGGCACAAGGATGGGGGAGGATTTCCCCTACTTATCCTTGCGGATGTTGAGGAGCTGAGGAGGAAAAGCAGTAAGAAAAACCTTATCCATGTGCAGATATCGGGAAAGAGGAATGAGGAGAGGCAAAATTCACCTTTATGTGGGGGCTATGGCAAGTTAGTGCTCCGGTGTGGAAAGTTTTGTATAGCAGCTCTCTAGCTAGATGCTATCCTAAAGTAGCCCATTAATGGAAATCATAGTAACCTGTCCTCTTAGTTMCTCACTAAGCACTGCCTGCTGACCTCACACATCTCCTGGGATATGTTACTCTTATCTATGTATTCAAAAGTTAAAAAAGAAAAAAACCTTTAGGTCACCGGGTGAGACAGCAGGTGAAGGCACCTCGTTGGAAACTGAAGGTAGGAAGGCTAAATGCTCATGTTCAGCGCAGTGTGGTGAGCACCAAGGGTCTGAGGGCTTGTTGGGGGCAGCGCTGGCCCAGGTGTCGTTGGGAAATAACATTTATCCTGGATGATGAGCTGCTTGCAGCAGGTGAGGGTGTTGTAGTGGAAACAATGGTAGCAGAGATATGAGGTTTTCTTTGTTTTAYTTCTTCCAGTGTCTGCATTTTTAAAAGCAATGGCCTAAAGTGAGACCATATTGAACGTAAGAGTCTTGTCATATTTGTAAGCAGTCGTTTTCCTTCCATGTAAGTCCTTGAAGCTTAGTGATCTTTGAGCTGACTGAGGTAAAATACGTAATGCGACTAAAATCTTAAACCAATATGCAGAGACAAAAGGCTAGTCAGGTGTAGAAAGAAGCACATAAATACTTTGGGAGCRTGACATTCTGCAATATTGTGAGTCTGGTAACTAACAGGAGGAGATAAGTAAACGACCATTCTGATGCTCTCCAGGGCCGGCATGCAGGGCAGGAGCTGCACGAAGCCAACTCTGTTCAGCTACCAGCTCCTGGGCACTYGGAGAGAGAAGTTTTGTGCTTCATCCTCTGTGCTCCCCAGAGCACAGGTGGTCATCACAGAAATGGACCACCTGCTGCTTGTACTGTGATAGGGGCAATCTTTGCAAATTGGAGTTGTAATTGAGTAACTCAAGGCTAGTTAAGATCAGAAAGCTTTCTTCTACAGGCCTGACTATCTTCAAAACTGGAAAATGGAAGTAAGGTGAGGAGGGGCAGCATCATTTTCTATGAAGCTGAACTTTTAGACTTATGCKTTAGTAATGATGAAAATCAGGTTTAGCTGCGTTTCTGCCTGTTTATCCCTTTAAACAATAGGGTTGACTTTACAGCATAAGAATTAAAAATCTCTGCAGACAGAGTCAGACTGTGGCCTGTAATAGGGCAGTAATATAAATAATTCATGACTTTGAGCAAGAATCATGAATGAGATAGCAAAAGGACTTTGCATATCTGCCTGATAATGAGAAGGACCTTAATGTATCGATGGAGGCCATGGCTGTGGATTTTGATGATGGCAAAGTGAGGAAAAGCTGATTGAAATGCATGAGATCTCAATGAAATAAAAGCAGGAATCTTCAAGTAGAAAATCAGATTCCCTTTTAAAAAGGGATAGTATGGTAGAAGCTGCAAATGATTTCTAATCTGGCATCAATACTGAGGAAACAAATTAAAATTTGAGTGGTACAGTGTCACATAAATAGGTATTTAAGCAGTTTGAGATTCTTGTGTGTGGTAAATACCACGATTTCATTCACTTTTGGGTTTAGTTTTGCCGCGGGTAGACTGTGATTTGCTGGGCTCACCAAGGGAGCTACCTCTGTCTTAGTGAAAGSCGATGAGGAGGCAGTAGAGCTCCTGAGAGTCCCAGAAGTGCTAGATAGTGGGGACTGATCACGTTCCTCAAAGTACTAGCTGTGCTCTTGCTAGTACACCCAGGACGCAGCTGACTTTTTTTGCTGCACTGCTGACTCGTGTTTATCTTGTTCTCCAAAAAATCCCAGGTCTTTCCTTGCAAAGCAGCTTTCTAGCCATGACCCCTAGCTCTTGCAAGAGGTTATTCCATCTCAGGTGCAGGAGTATGCATTTGCCTTTGCAAAGCAAAGATGTGGTGTTCAGCATGGATGTCTGTAAAATAGCCTCTGGAGAAGCAATAAGGGATTTCTTTAGCTCTTGCGTTGATTTGAGTGGRTTGCATAATCCACAAAAGTGGAATGAGGTGTTACCTTGTTATCTACATTCACACTCACTGTCATCTTTGGGTTGGGAAAGGTTATCTGCAGCAGGTAGCGATTTCTGCGATCAACTGACTTTAACCCTAAACTCAGCTCTGAAATGTTACCCTTCAGAAAGGAGAAGCACCTCGCAGGGCATTAGTCTCTTCAGCTGCAGAATCCACCCTTTGCTTCTGCATTTCAAGCTAGCCTGGAATGTCTGRATGCTCCATGGCCCAATGAGCAGCCAAGTCAGCGTCAGAGGTGAAATCAATTTTGCCCTCACCTTAGTTCTTGGAAAGCCTCAGTCTTGCTCCYGGATGAGAACAAAGCTGCAATAATGCAGACATTTACCAAAACCAACACAGCGCTTCTAGAATTCATTTCGTTTCCGTCCAAAAGTGGAAGCAACACAGGAGTGCCAATCTCTGTTCTCGTTATCAGGCTGTCAGTCCATATTTTAGACGGTCTTGTTGCCTTTAAAGGATGGGCAAAAAGCTCTCCTCGGAGTCTGTTTGCTAGCCTACAAAGAACCAGTTCACTATGGTACAGCAATGTTTAGTTATGACAGTGGCTATTTTCATATCTGTATTCAGAGGAAAATTGTTGAAAAATAAAGTTTCTTTTTCAGAGTTGTATCAGTTTCCAGTTGTGCTCACATTTATGTACAAATGACTTCTTCAGTCCACTGGAATCAAAGGCTTGTCTTTTAGTGCGATCAGGGGCTTGCCTGTATTTTAATATGCTCGAAAGACTCATTTGTTGACTGCTTTTATTGCAGGCCTGGTTTACCATATAAATAGACTACAAGAGATGTCTTTGGTATTGTGTGTGATTATACTTGTAGACAGAAAATAGTAATATAGTAATAATTTTTTTCCTTCCTCTGTCTCTCTTTCCTTCCCCCTTTCCAAGGGAAACACAGTGAAGGAAGACATGAAACATCTTTAATAGAATTCTGCTTTTGATCAAGCTGGTAAAATGGATGCGAACATTTTCTCTTGTGAGGTAAGTATTTCCAACGAGAAGGGTAACTGTAAATTAAATGAGTGGGACTTTTTTCTCTCTATCATCACTGCTTTTCAGGCTAGCAGTTTTTAAAGTTATAGCATCTCCAACTTGGTCTATTTTATACTGAAAAACTTACCTGGAAATATCTTTAATTAATCTTTTCACTTACAGGATTAGTCAGCTTTGTTCTAATTTTTCTGTAGATAAAAACAAATGTATAAATGATTTGTGTTAGTGTGAAGCTGGAGTAATGGGTGGCCTCTGCACATGGTAACTTTTGACCCAATGTCAAGCCCCCTTTTAAGCACTGAAGAAATGGAAGTTGCTGTGTATAGTTTTGAAGCGTGAATACTTATCCAGATGGAGAAAACAAGGGGGTTCCTGGGGTGAAGTTAGGGTTTGTACCACAAATATGCAACTTCTTTATGCAACCCCTCTGCTCTTGCTCTGAGCAGYCTATATGGAAGGACCCAGTCTTCTGCTTGATGCCAGTCTGAATTACAGGTATGTATTAATAAAGCTTTTGCCAAGTCTCATAACCAGCTTTGAAATGTTTATGTACTGAGATGGATTTTGKTTGGTTTAAGAGTTATTGAATGAAATATGTCTCTTTAATTCAGGACCATAAGAAAATTCAGGTTATAAGGAACCTCAGGAGGTCATATAGTCCAACCCTCTTCTAAATTTTACAGTAGTCAATGAAATAAGGTCATTTTCATCCCTTGGCCATTTCAGAAAGCTTTATGTTCAAAAACAATAGGAAAGGTGGATTTATATCTTACTGTCTGTATTAAATGTACATATAATACTGCAGATGGGAACAGAAAATTCTACTAAAATATGTTGGAAAATATTTAGGTGGRGTTTGTAAGGGAATGGTCTGTCCTACTGGGGTGGGAGAGGGGAAAGGAAACAATAAATCTGTTACATACTGGTTTCCTGCGATGGCAAACGGAACCTCCACAGGTCATCTAACACAGTGGCGGGCTGCCATTGTTTTCAAGACAGGGTCCTTGCAAGAAGGACCCGCTTCCCAGGCGTCTCTAGGGAGTCTATTTACTTTCTCATGTAAGCAAAATTGCTTTCTCATAGCAAAGGAAAGGGAAATGACTGTGTTGCTCTACTGATGCATGCTACTGAAACATTTCCTCTGGAGTGTAAATATTTGTTCATGGGAAAACATAGTGACAGTGCGAATAAAAACAAGCGTCTTGTCAGGAAGCAAAGGGAGCAATTTCTTCCTGGGCTTTCAAAATACCAAACTAGTGCTCCCTCCAACTAYTGTGGATGACCAGATAGAACATTTAATGAGCCTTAGGACTGACTGCTTCATTGTTTTGGCCACGGACGGTCATCCAAAAAGGTGGTTAACACTGCTAGAAGGAAGCGAGTTCAGCATTCAGGGCCTGATAGGTGGAGTGCTGAAGTGAAGAGACACAAGGTTTGTTTTGGATTTCTATCTGTCTTAATGCACTTGGAATTGATCCCTCAAAATTGGCAATTTAATAGCTTTAATAGTTACATTAGTAATTTAATGAGCCCCCTCCAGCATCCAGACGAATGTGTACTTCAGTGAAAAAAATAGAGGTCATTTTATAGGTAATGCAGTCTTGAAAACCACTATATAATATTACATGTGTACAGGTTGCAGTGCCATGAATTATTTAATATACCATAATAGTGATCCTAACATCATGGAAGTACTCATTAAGGCAAATGGTTCATCTAAGAACCCTAGGATCTCTCTGCAGCATCCTTCCAGTATCAAGTGTCACTCACTGCCCAGCCTGATTTTCTCTCTCTGAAGGAATTTCTGAGTAATGGTGTTACAGAAGAAGGTTGTTCTCATGGAATATACTCTGTGCAAACTGATGGCTCGCAATTCTATTTCTGTAGCTTCTGTGACTGGGTCTCACTCCTTGAAGAAAACATACCTGCAATTCTAGTATAAAATTTTAACTTCTTTAGTACAAAGTCACGTGGCAGGTCAGAAAACGCTCCTATCTTTGGAAGGAATCTCTTTGCAGAGGTGGTGTTATTTGCTCCTTAACATCCCAGTCGCAGCTTATTTGCTTATGTGCTTCTGTGTCACTTTAGGCATTATGAGATGAGTTGTAGTAAATTTAGCCCTCTGGTTTAAGAAGCTATTGCTCTGTCAGAGCTTAACTTCCTCGCACAGTCAGTGGAATCTATGGGTATGTTAACCACTTCAGTGCAGAGTCTGCAGATTTAATACAGCTTCCAGGTGGAATGGGTAAAAAAAAMCAGCTCTGCACTGTTCAAAACTGGCAAAAGGGGTGGTTTGTGCACTGTGAAGGCAGTAACCTCCAGCAGAGTTAAATGTAGCAGAGGAAATTTTTAGTCTTAAACTTGCTTGAGTTATTTCTTTTCTGATTGCTAGTGGCTACAGAATAGTAAAATTGGAGGTCTGCTGTGTGTGTGCAGACTTTCAAGTACCGAGACTTCAGTTTTTGCTGCTGTATTGGGGCAGAATGTTCTTCTAGCAGGGCTCAAAATGGGTAAATGTTTCAATTATTGTTCTGGGCAGCAGGTACCATTTAGACTCAAGATGAATGCATCTCCCTGCTAAAGAAAAAAGAGGTTCTATTTACTGTTGTGACCTTTTGAATGTCCACAGGTTTCTCCTCTGTAATTTATGGCTTTTGCTTAATACCCAGAGGGCATAAATTTGGCTGTTCTATTTCAGAGCTTTGTTTTCCACTGCCATACATGCCTAGAAATATTTGTGGAATTATTGATCACTAAATAWGTAGGAATCTCTAGCAACATTTCAACACATACTTTCTGGTCTTCTAAGGAAGCCTGTGGTGGGCCAGACTTCTCTTGAAGCAATACAACTGGCTACATTGGAATTTCTCCAGGGGTGAATTTGATTCCTTTAATCCGCCTTTCTTTGTATGTTTGCAACAGTGGTTCCCACTGGCAACGCTATAATTAAGGAACTGTCTGCATTTTACTCACAATGAGAGTACAATAGCATTCTAGCTGTAATTCTGTATTTCATTTAGAAGCCTAATATGAAAAATAGGTGTTATTCACCTATTTAAAATTGGAATGGTGGGAAGTCCATCAGATATTTAATAAATATAGTTTAGCAGAATTGTGTTGGCGGTTGCTTCTGTAAAAGATTTGTATTTTTTTCTGAAAACAATGTATTTTGGACATGAGTAGTAAGACGAATGCACTCAAAGCTTCTGAATTGCAAGAAGTGCAAGCAGAGAACAGCACTTGTACTGACAGATAGAGGCAAATAAAACTGCTAACTTTTGTAATTCTTCACTTCTAACCCTTTTTCCCCCAAAGAGGAGTCTTGCCCTGACTGAAAGAAGGCTGTAATGAGTTTGGTAAAAATCAAAAGCTATATGGCTTGCTACCTTATTTTAAAGAAGAGAGGGGGGAGAGAAAAAAAAAAAAAAAAGAGGAGGGTGCTAGCATGATTTATAATACTTGGCCAAAGTAAATTCCAAGCAATGAGTGTGTGAGAAGTTTCACGGCTCTGGAATACCTGTGATCTTGGGAATCGACCCTAGGTACCAGTTTAAGCACTAGCAAAACCATGCTAGTGGGTCTGGTTGTTTTCAGTTGTGAAGCAGAATTTTGTCCCTTCGCATATTTATTCTCTGCAGATAGCTGTTTGTGTATGTGTGACTGGAAAGTGATGTCTTTCTCTCCCTGCTCTGCAAATCACACGGTGCATTAGTACCTGCMATCCTTCCAGCTTTCTGTAATCTGCATTTCAGACCTTTAACAATGATGGGCCAAAAGCCCCTGCAGGTACCAAGTTCCATGTCCTCTGTGAAAACTTTGTGTATGTGGCAGAAAGATACTTTTTCATGTTTGATTCTTAAATAATAACAGATAATAGCAATAGTAGYGCTTCTTAAAGGAGAGTCTTTTTAGTAACTATTTTTGATAAATGTAATTAGGAAAGGGCCCATCAAATCGCCTGCTGGTGAAATGTGTACACTGCTTTCATTTCCTGCTTCCAAGGCTTCTTCCTCAAACTACAAAAGTAGGTTACTTATATGCATTCCTCTGCTATTGCAGCAGTAACTGTAATCCTTCAGCCATGCAGTTTTGCTAGAATTTGTATAAATTACTTCAGGGAGAGGAAAATGTCCACCAGAACCAACCCWTGTAATCTCCTATTTTCTGCATGTGATATAAACCTTTGACCCATAGGGAACAAAAGAAAATGTAAGTAGGTTTGTTCAGATGTGCTGAATAAAGCATTAAAATAGAAGACCTGTATTTGGACAGTATAAGCCTGGCATTGGCATAACCCAGTTTAACTCAGTCTCTGTTGGAACAGCGTAGCCTTTGCATGGGGATCTGTGCTAGCATAACTAGTGTTACCAGCTCGTTGTTAAACCGCGTAAATGGTTGTAATGGACACAAGGTCTTGCGTTCCTGGCAGAGTGTTTCAGAAGAGGAGGATGTGCAGAACAAACAGGAGTTTCAGATTTGACTTTGCGTTTGGATCTTAACGATTAAAGCCGTATTGTGCGGAATTGTGCTATGCAAAATAGTTGAAGACTTGTGCTATAATGTAATTGCAATTGTGTTGTAATACCCTAGTAAAATAAGTGATGTGTGTTTCAGTACTATTTAGTTTCAGCTACTTCAAGTTTTATGCTTTGCTGCTTTTATTCATCTTTATAAAACATGCATGTTGCAACTAGTTGTTTTCTAAGGCCTTTTTCTTTTTTTTCTCTTGAATAGTCATCTGAATTGAAGCCCATAGAAGTAGATGGAAGCTTTTCCACATCTGTTTCAGTAAGATTATGTAAGGTTTAAAAACTGTAACTGATTTTTTTACATTTTTTACTTTAGTGTATAGCTAACTATAGGGAGAATTGTAGAAGAGTAAATCTTATTTCCTGAAACTGCCTCTCAAAGATTAATGATGGTGAGATTAAGCTGCCCTTGATTCTACTGTTTAATCCAGCTTTCTTGGTTTGGCACCCTGGAAAGAA